CCACGTACATGATGTAAAAGTCAGTTTGTCCTCTGCACACATGCTGACGGAAGTATCTCCGAACACGGCTGATGCGTTTCCGAAGCATGTTTTTTTTTTCCATACATATAAATGTAAACAAAACAATTGGTGTGCGTATGTTTATACAGCTTGAACTCAGTCTGCCTTCAACGAGCGACTTGTCTCTCAGCTGTACATGAGCAATTTAGCCAGTGCGGTACAACCTCGAGCCTGAGGTCTTTGGCGTGCAACACACAGTATAATGATGCGCGACCGCACGCCGATACGATGCTCATCCAGATCGAAACGGGCAAGGGTAGGGTTTGAACCCAGGACCCCCGGGGTTCTGAAGCGCGAGCTTTCGCTCCACGTGGTCCGAGCTGGTGTGCGCTAGCCCACTCGGCCACCAAGTCTCCCATACATGTGTGTGCTTCGAACATGTGACCAATCTGACATTACCGTCATACAAAGAACAAGCGCCCCTCAGACAGCGTCTCCAGACTGTCTTTTGTATTACGTATTGGCGTTCTAACCGCGGCTTGAGGGTCGCGGGTTAGCCGTCATGGTGCACTGGCTAGATGTCTCATCCACATTGCGGAGCTCAAGCTGGATAGAAGCGACAAAAACAACATTAGTTGGTTTTGTCGCTTCTAAGAGGTTAGTTGTCTCTGAAGAGACAACTAACCTCTTATTTGATTTGCTTTTTGTGGCTTGTCCAATAGATAAGAAAGTTAGGAAAGGAAACAACGAGTAAAAGCACTGATTGCTTTTTTATTATTTGATCTGATAACCTTTCTTATCACGTGCGCGTTATGTTCGGTGACTATTAGGAAGGATATCCAACCATGGGTTGCATTGTGGCTAAATTGAGAACTGAACCCATAAAGACAAAAACAACATTAATAAAAAAAAAGCCAATTTTGACGCAATGCTCAGCTGACGCGGCCGAACACTGCACCAAATTCAAACGCCGAGCTCTGGGGAAAAATAAAATAAAACAAGCTGTACAAAGCGCTTTTTATAGCTCGATCTTCTTGCCGATCGAAGACAATCGAGTACATTTCGGTGCGACTGAACTGGTTCCGTCGGTGGTCGCAGTATTTAAGATATTAGAGACGCAAATTCGTGTTCAAGGTTTTTTGTTCACCGTGGCCGTGCAGACATGGGGAGCCAGTTCGAAGGATTCGGTTCTTGGGAAAGTAGAAGAATCCTTCCAAGTTCCTTTTTGGACCAACACGTGTTGTTTGTCTTCACTTAATGTAGTTTCCACAGTTTCTCTTTGAGGTGTATACAAGACAGAAAACTAAACTCGACGTTTCTAGGAAACGTTCACGCGTGACAGGGGAAAGATGGCCTACTGCACCACAGGGAACTGCAAACAGAGCCTTCAAAGCCATCCCGACGTTTCCGAAGACGACTGGCCTTGTATGTGGAGAGAGATCCCTGACATAAGAGCAAAATCAGTTCTATGCACCTAAAGTATACACCTTGAACTTTCGACTATGGCAATAATTCTGATCCCCCCCCCCCCTTACTTTTAACCTTTTAGCTACCTTTTAACTATTTTCGGTTTACCAAGCACTCGCTGAGTAGCGACGTGCCCCGTATTATAGGCCCGCACGTCTCCCGGCTATCTTTTTTTCTTTATTTTTTCTCTGGATTACATCTACAACTACAACAAAAATATAGTGTGGTTACAATAGCACGACGGCTTTTAATCATAGCGCCAGATAAGCAGGAAGCCGGACTTTGTGGCCCTTCGCTGCCTTGCAGGGGCTACTTGTAGATCAGCGCTATTCGAATCGGACTTCTATTTCTGCATCCTCTTTAACATGGCAGCATTTACTTTCACATGAAACTGTGCAAAAAGTAGAGGGCGCCAAAAAAAAGAAAGGAAAAAAACATTACAGTATCTTTTTGACGGCTAAAATGAATTACCATATCGCCCAATCTCATTCTCCGCCCAAACGTAGCGCCAGCGGTGCGAACCAAATGACTAAGTTTCAGAACTAACCGTTATTTTATTAAAAAGTTATAGGTGATTTTCTGAAAATTTCACGGGGAAAATGGCGCCCCTTTGTATCAGTTTTCTATAACCGGGGTCATTCAGCTCCATGTGTTCGAGTGCTCCGTCAGCCGCCATTTTGCCACTGAACGTTCTAGAAAATCACCTATAACTTTTGAATGAGATAACGGTTAGTCCTGAAACTGAGTCGTTTAATTTGCACCGCTAGCGCTACATTTGGGCGAAGAAGGAGCATTCGGCAACTCGTAGTTTATTATTGCGATAAAAAAACAGAACAAACAAAAAAAAACTTGGGCGACGCTTAAGCTTCTTCTTTAAGAGTGGAACGCGTTTGCGTTATCGGGCCCCGCTCGCAAAGCCTTCTCATACAAACCCGCGCTCGTTTCCAAGGCTTGCAAAGCGTGTGTGCGTGGTCCAGTCGATAGCGTCACGTATCACGTGACGTAACAGGTGAGCGTTATGGTTTGCTTTCGATTCCCGCGCGAGGTCATGTAGCGTGACGTCACGTGTCGCACGTGAGGTCGCACGTGCGACATGTGACGCCGCACGTGCGACGTGTGACGTCGCACGCGTGATGTGACTGGCTGTGACGTTATGACCCTATCCATCCGATAAATTTAGCGGAAAACTTTTCCCGCCGTATATGGTGAGAATATTTAACCCTCGTGACGTCACACGCGACGTCCCGTGTGACGCCAACAGGTGCATGTCGGGAGTTTGTTTGTCCCGCGAACGCCCACACCGGATTATCTGGGACACAAGCTCTTAAACGCTATCGCGTTAAAAAAAAAACAAAAAAAAAACAGTATTTTTTTTTTTTTGGGGGGGGGGGGGGGGGGGGGGGAGATTTCGCACTAGAGTCACCTATACTTCATTTCACCTCATCGTAGACTAACTGTGAAGGCTTATCAAGCGCGAACGGCTAGCCTTGACTGTGGAACTCGCTGGTGCAGCCGCCGAGGCTTCATCCGAAAAAATTAGCTCGCGCTTTTTGCATGCGCGGCTAACAGTATTTTATGCTAAGGTAAGACTGACTACTTAGTGACAAGTTAAGGTTGAAGAGGAAGCGATCTCCTCTCCAGCGTTTGCTCTGCTAAAGTGAAAAGAGGTGGAAGGAGCTTTGCTTAAACTCTTAATTTTGTCGCCGTCTATAGTCAAGCAGCTCTGCACTTTCCCTGCACACAAAAAGTCCGACGCTATACAGTTTCTGTTAGACCTTACGAACGCGTTAAACTGATTCCGCCTTCAGACAACCACCAAATCGAGGAACGAACTTTGGGCCGTGTACGATCTTCAACGTTAGGCGTCTTCGAAGATGGTGAACGGGCTATTTTGCGCACGGCAGCGATAGCGCATCGACTGGGACTCAGCAAAATCAGAGAGCCTAGATCTCAGGGAGGAGGCAACGTAAACCGCTGAGCGCGTTTCCACTTTGATGGCCTCCAGTACCACAACGCGTTTGCGGCGTCGTTAACGCGAGCTGGGCGACGGCGTGTGGATCCACTAGGGGAGGGATTAAACTGAAGGCCTTTTATTCTTGGCGGTCCTGGGATATCGGACGGGGACGGTTGACAAAAATCTTGGAAACTCTTGCAGACCGTCGACGGTGTCAGCTCCCCCTCACACCTTGTATAACAGAACGCGGTCCGTCAAACGTTTGACCCCGATCGGGCAGATGGATGCACTCTGAAACCTAGGCGCACTGGGCAAAACGCATTAGTCCGATGACGCGCGCTCCATGCAAATCTGTCCGGGCAACGTCTAATGGCAAAGCAACGTCCGTCCTGTTTGCCCAAGCTGCGGTCTCCGCGCCTGCGCTTTGATCCTTTTTTTTTTTTAATTATTATTAGTTTTCGTTTTGAGCGGCAACCCCCTTAACTGCAGGGTTTCATCTAAAGCAAACGTTGGTGAGCGCCAAGAGTCAATAGAGTTTCCCAATTTATTCCTCGCAATCTGAGAGAAATCCACCTTGCCCTCTGTCTGTGTCTGGTGTGTACGGCGAGCATCGGAGCAATACCGCCCAGACGAGAACGAGAGACACCACAAAACGTGCAAGCATCGCCCTTATTTTTGAGACGCTGCAACACGGGCTGTCAAACAAAGAACAAAGAGCGGTTTGGTGAAAATAAAAAAGGATCAAAGAAAGAATAAAGACACCTAGAAACGAGGACAGACAGTACAGTTGCTGACACAAACCAGGCGGCGCTTCGCGAAACCACTAGTGATTACGTGTGTGTGTGTGTTGGGGGGAGGGGGGAGAGGGGGGAGATTTAGATAGAGAGAGAGATGTCCAGTCCTTGTCTTCTCTAGGGAGTATTGATTGGAGGCACCAAGTTGTTCGATAGCGGTCGTGTTGTGCGCGCGATATGCAGATTTGAATCTCTCTAAATGGTTCTCGTTCGGCTTCGTAACGATTCGCTCGGTGCGTTGTCGGGCGAGGGCTTACCGAGGTGAAGATAACGCGTTGGTGGCGGCGTCACGTTTGTTCTAAAGGTCAGTTGCACAGCACAGTAACTCGACGTCACACAGTGTCACTCGATCATGTAATTTGACGCTACAGTGCCACGTCCCACCGTGACCTCCCTGTGCCACGTGGCCACACAAGTCGGCGTCACGTGACCGCGTGACTTAATGTCACAGCGTGACGCGACCACGTGACTGTGGCAACTTGGCGCTACGGTCCCACGTGAGTCGTGACGCCTTGACCTCACAGTCACGAGGTCACACAAGTTGACATCACAATATCTAATGACGCTGACGTCGTGTGATATCACAGCGTTACGGGCACTACGACATAAGTGACGTAGCATGGCGTGATCGCGGAATAAGCGTCGTGTAATCACCTTCTGTTGAAAAAAAATATATATCACGTGTCTCGCTACAACTGTCTCCCTCAAGTGCGTCAGACGCATTCAGTATGATTCGGACTTTACGAGTAAGATGTAGGCGATTAATTTGTGCCTCTCTTTGACAGGAAAAGCCGAGGAGGAGTTGGAGGAGCTTGCCGAGTCCCTGCAGCTTCCCCTCGAAGCCCTGCAGCTGCGCGAGAGCGCCGACCTGGCCCAGCCCGAGGTGACCGTGTACGCCAGGGCCATGCTGCGAGGAGGCACCCTCTTCGGGCCCTACCCGGCCATGCTGGTGCCCCAGCACCTTGAGCACCACGTGGCGGTGAGGACACGCACCATCCCCACCTCTCTTCCAAGTAGCCTGAGAACTGACGTTATTTGATAGATTCAGTTGTGGAACTCCAACAAAGGGGGTACCCCCCTCCCCACCTCTCTTCCAAGTAGCCTGAAAACCGACGTTATTAGATCGATTCAGTTGTAGAACTCCCACGGAGGGGGAAACCCCCCGCCCCAAAAGCCACCCGTCTTTTAAAGCGCAACCTAAATTCGTTGTCAAATAAAAAAAAAAAAAGTTTTGCATGAGCTGCGGGAAATAATTCTTACAAAATTTGGTTGTCGAAGAAGGAAGCAATGCTTTTAGCGTTTGAAACGTGGACGTCTTCGTAAAACAACTTCAAGCTAATCTGAAATATTCACTCATATATTATTTTAAATTAACGCTTGAGGGAGAAATTAGTAACATTCTGCGAGGAGCCGGACATTTTTGACTACAGTTCTTGAGGTGAATACGAGTATAGGCTTCTCGCATCTGACGTCACTTCCGGTTAGCTTCGAAATCGAAACCAACATTGTCGTCTGCGATCCGTGCCTTGACCCCCACGTTGGAGGCATTCGGCGTCTTATTGCGTCAGCAATAGTGCCGTAGAGCCATATAGCCGCTCACTCCCCTGGCGTTTGCCTCGCTCGCGTTAGACGATGAAACAAATTGGTGGCGAGCAATTGATGGAACACAGGTAAGATTTTAAGCGTGGCCCGTGATTAACATCCTCGGACGGCACTTGAACGCGCGCATGGGGTGCCGTCGCTAAACACTTCTTCAGCGCCTCGCGCGAAAATGCCGTCGGATGGCAAAAAAAAAAAAGAAATGCGTCGCCTGCTAATCATTTGCGGCGACTGACAAGAAAAGTAGTGCCCCTACCCATACGCGAAATCATTGGGGAATATTGTGCAAAACTTGTCAGCACTGTAGCCGGTCCTCCAACTTTTTGACTGCCTACACGGATGAAGGCTGGAGGCGCCACACAAACCTTTTCCGCATGGGCGCAGCCATATTGTATATCGTCACTTCTGGTACGCATTAAAACTTCATTTCGATCTCTCCACGCCGCTGGAAGGTGTTCACTAAAAATGCGTGATTGTCACACATTCTTGTTTTGCCTCACCTATATTTTGTCGTATATTCCAGGTTGAAATGTTTTATTATTTTTTTCGTCCCGCATACCAGATACGAAACCCACGTGACTGAGAACGACAGGAAACAGAAAACGTCTATATATAGTCGATGGCAAAGAAGTTCCTCATCTGACACGAAGTGCAGTCCACAAACCCTTAGTTGATACAAAGCTTTTCTGTCGAGATTTTTACCGACTTTTACGGCTGAAACAATAGTCCATTCTCAAAAGTGCATCGAGCAACATTGGCTGTCGCCCTTGCTTGGGACGCGAAGCGTGTGATTGGATCCGACTTCTCGCCGAACGCTGACGTCACACTTGTATCCAATACGAGCCTGAGCCGACTTCACGCCGAACGCCGAGGGAGCCCTCGTGTCCAATACATGCTCGCGGAGTATGTGATCAAGCAATGGCGGACAGACGTCGGCGCGGACTTTCGAAAAGGATATAGCAATTACGGCGCAACTGACCATTTTAAAACACTGTGTCACCCTAATTACTCACTCACCGTAATATGGTATTCGCTTTGCTTTTGGATCCGAAGCAGTGTTCGCACACCTTTGATAATAATAATAAAAAAAGTATTCGTAAGAAGACGTCGAAGGAGGAGCGCATAACCCCTTGATTCGATTGCGTCGAAACAATAACCGTGTTCACTGGCTTCAAAAGTTCAAACTTCCTACTTTTCCCAATATTTCCCTTTTTTTTTTCGGCAAAAAGGAAAACGAAACGCATTAATATTTTTCTGAAGATTCAAAAATCTCCGGAAATTACATATCTCTAGATAAGGCGGCTAGGTTATCAGAACATCCGTGCCTCATATGCCGCATGCCAAGTTTTTTTGCTGTTTTTTTAGTTGTAACGGTTTCCGGTCTTATCGAGCCGAAGCAGTGTACAGACTATCGCGAAAGCAAAGACAGACACATTAAGACGTCCTTACATGCAATTACAAACTACGTTGTTTTCATATTACAGAACGTACAATCATTTGGTTTTGAATAAGTAGCCTCCAGTCCCGTTCTTTTGCTTTCTTGCGTGTTTCAAAGGCAGATCGTTTATGAGGTCCATCTCTAAACGTCTGCGTATTCGTGGCATGTAGCCTTAACAGTGACGTCACGCAGGCCACGTGACCATGTTCACGTGACGTCATCAGTGTTTTAAAAAGTTCTCCGTGATTTTATTTCATTTTATTACACCCTTACATCGCCCAGTTCTAGGTTTAACAAAAAAAAACTTGGGGGAGGGGAGGGGGGAGGGGAGGGGGGAGGGGGATAAAACGTAAAGAAGAAGCAGTTACATACACATGTTACAATTCAGCATTTGACCAGTTCATGCATTAAGCGCATCTCTGAAATCATCCTCGAGATATAGTGACAATGCTATCAGGCAGCCTGTTTCACGATACGGTCGAAAGTTGAAATTGTGAGTACTTAAGATTTGTTCGGTGAAGAGATTAGGGCAAGCTTGCCACTGATATCTGTTCGCGGGGAAATATGTTGGGCGGGTTTACAATACTATTGCTCAGTTCATTCGCGGGAAAGGCAATACGATCCGCGTAGCCTTAGCAGATCCGTACAAGTTCTACTGTGCTTTTAAAGGGGGAAGTTGAGTTTTTCATCTCATTGCTGACACGCTGCTTTCCCGTTTGAAGACTAAGAGTGTAGGTCGCGCCGCTTTGTTGTTTTTTTGTTTTTGTACAGATTCAAGCATATATATTAGTAAAGACTGATGAGGGGCCCACACTGACGAAGAAAATTCCAGCTGTGATTTGACAGTGTTTTTATAGACAATTAGCTTTGTGCCCTGAGAAGCGAATTTTAAATTCCGTTTAATGTAGGCTAACGTACTGTTCGCCTTGGTGACTGTGCTCGTTGTGCGAGTTTCCCAAGTTAGGTTAGGTGTGAAAAATACGCGAGAGTATTTGAAATTCGCAACTGTGTCTATTTCGTTGTCTTATTTATTTATTGAGATTACCTGCATCGCCTTGGAGGCATTATTGCAGGAAGAGATTATCAAAAACATTTCAGATGAAAATACAGAGGGAAACACATTTTCATGAAGCGTGTTCCATTCCAATGCAGTTCGAATAAAAAATTATCTACAACGAGAGTTTATAGTTGCAACTTTGTATTGATGGTCAACTCTTTCTGACACGTAGAAAGGACATCGGATATAATTTTCTTTATTGATGCAAGTTTTAACGTGACATAGACAATAAAAACGTTTTAATCTTAAATTTTTCCGTCTGCATAAGAGCAGTCGCCAGTGTAACTGTTCTTTTATAGCCGTGACGCTTGCTTTGATCGTATAATTATTCGAGACAAATCTGCCGCAACGACTTTGTACTCGCTCTAATTTATTCGATAGACTTTTAGTTTGAGGGTCCCAAGCTATGCATGCATATTCCAGGACTGAACGAACGAAAAAAAAAAAAAAGTTTCCTTGAGATACTTTGGGCAGTGACGGAAATTACGACCTAAAACTCCTAACATGCTGTTTGCCTTATTCGTTGTAAAATTGATATGACTATCCCACAGCCAATCGCTTGAAACAATAACACCGAGATAACGAATTGCATCCTTTTTATCAAGTAGTTGATTGGCAGTGGCATAGCCCATACTTTCTCTATCTTGCTTTTCTCTCGAAAATATAACTAATTTACATTTTTTTTTTTTACATTGAGCTCCATTCGCCAATTCCTGCACCAATTTGACACACGGTCCAAGTCTATTTAAAGTTTAGAATAATCTTCGTCATCCTCCGTTGTTCTGTATATGACGCAATCGTCAGCCAAAAGCTTAGAGCGTAAAGGAAAAATGCCTATAATCTAGTACTTTTCGCTTTGTGGTAATTATCATGCACTTCGTCTTCGTTACGTTGATATTCATTTGCCTTTTTTGTACATTACAAAGCAAAGTTGTCTAGATCCTACACGGAGCGCAAGTTCGTCTGCTTCTTTTACGGAGGTTGTGGTGACGTCAGAATGCTGAGCTCTGATTGGCTGTGATCGCAGGATAGTGGGTAGACATCAGGGCAACTAGCATTGATGTCACCCACTGTCCTTGCTTCTTTTGCAGAGGTTGTGGTGACGTCAGAACGCTGAGCTCTGATTGGCTGTGATCGCAGGATAGTGGGTAGACATCAGGGCAACTAGCATTGATGTCACCCACTGTCCTTACTTCTTTTACGGAGGTTGTGGTGACGTCAGAACGCTGAGCTCTGATTGGCTGTGATCGCAGGATAGTGGGTAGACATCAGGGCAACTAGCATTGATGTCACCCACTGTCCTTGCTTCTTTTGCAGAGGTTGTGGTGACGTCAGAATGCTGAGCTCTGATTGGCTGTGATCGCAGGATAGTGGGTAGACATCAGGGCAACTAGCATTGATGTCACCCACTGTCCTTGCTTCTTTTGCAGAGGTTGTGGTGACGTCAGAACGCTGAGCTCTGATTGGCTGTGATCGCAGGATAGTGGGTAGACATCAGGGCAACTAGCATTGATGTCACCCACTGTCCTTGCTTCTTTTACGGAGGTTGTGGTGACGTCAGAACGCTGAGCTCTGATTGGCTGTGATCGCAGGATAGTGGGTAGACATCAGGGCAACTAGCATTGATGTCACCCACTGTCCTTGCTTCTTTTACGGAGGTTGTGGTGACGTCAGAATGCTGAGCTCTGATTGGCTGTGATCGCAGGATAGTGGGTAGACATCAGGGCAACTAGCATTGATGTCACCCACTGTCCTTGCTTCTTTTGCAGAGGTTGTGGTGACGTCAGAACGCTGAGCTCTGATTGGCTGTGATCGCAGGATAGTGGGTAGACATCAGGGCAACTAGCATTGATGTCACCCACTGTCCTTGCTTCTTTTACGGAGGTTGTGGTGACGTCAGAACGCTGAGCTCTGATTGGCTGTGATCGCAGGATAGTGGGTAGACATCAGGGCAACTAGCATTGATGTCACCCACTGTCCTTGCTTCTTTTGCAGAGGTTGTGGTGACGTCAGAATGCTGAGCTCTGATTGGCTGTGATCGCAGGATAGTGGGTAGACATCAGGGCAACTAGCATTGATGTCACCCACTGTCCTTGCTTCTTTTGCAGAGGTTGTGGTGACGTCAGAACGCTGAGCTCTGATTGGCTGTGATCGCAGGATAGTGGGTAGACATCAGGGCAACTAGCATTGATGTCACCCACTGTCCTTGCTTCTTTTACGGAGGTTGTGGTGACGTCAGAACGCTGAGCTCTGATTGGCTGTGATCGCAGGATAGTGGGTAGACATCAGGGCAACTAGCATTGATGTCACCCACTGTCCTTGCTTCTTTTGCAGAGGTTGTGGTGACGTCAGAATGCTGAGCTCTGATTGGCTGTGATCGCAGGATAGTGGGTAGACATCAGGGCAACTAGCATTGATGTCACCCACTGTCCTTGCTTCTTTTACGGAGGTTGTGGTGACGTCAGAATGCTGAGCTCTGATTGGCTGTGATCGCAGGATAGTGGGTAGACATCAGGGCAACTAGCATTGATGTCACCCACTGTCCTTGCTTCTTTTGCAGAGGTTGTGGTGACGTCAGAACGCTGAGCTCTGATTGGCTGTGATCGCAGGATAGTGGGTAGACATCAGGGCAACTAGCATTGATGTCACCCACTGTCCTTGCTTCTTTTGCAGAGGTTGTGGTGACGTCAGAACGCTGAGCTCTGATTGGCTGTGATCGCAGGATAGTGGGTAGACATCAGGGCAACTAGCATTGATGTCACCCACTGTCCTTGCTTCTTTTACGGAGGTTGTGGTGACGTCAGAACGCTGAGCTCTGATTGGCTGTGATCGCAGGATAGTGGGTAGACATCAGGGCAACTAGCATTGATGTCACCCACTGTCCTTGCTTCTTTTGCAGAGGTTGTGGTGACGTCAGAATGCTGAGCTCTGATTGGCTGTGATCGCAGGATAGTGGGTAGACATCAGGGCAACTAGCATTGATGTCACCCACTGTCCTTGCTTCTTTTACGGAGGTTGTGGTGACGTCAGAATGCTGAGCTCTGATTGGCTGTGATCGCAGGATAGTGGGTAGACATCAGGGCAACTAGCATTGATGTCACCCACTGTCCTTGCTTCTTTTGCAGAGGTTGTGGTGACGTCAGAACGCTGAGCTCTGATTGGCTGTGATCGCAGGATAGTGGGTAGACATCAGGGCAACTAGCATTGATGTCACCCACTGTCCTTGCTTCTTTTGCAGAGGTTGTGGTGACGTCAGAACGCTGAGCTCTGATTGGCTGTGATCGCAGGATAGTGGGTAGACATCAGGGCAACTAGCATTGATGTCACCCACTGTCCTTGCTTCTTTTACGGAGGTTGTGGTGACGTCAGAACGCTGAGCTCTGATTGGCTGTGATCGCAGGATAGTGGGTAGACATCAGGGCAACTAGCATTGATGTCACCCACTGTCCTTGCTTCTTTTGCAGAGGTTGTGGTGACGTCAGAATGCTGAGCTCTGATTGGCTGTGATCGCAGGATAGTGGGTAGACATCAGGGCAACTAGCATTGATGTCACCCACTGTCCTTGCTTCTTTTACGGAGGTTGTGGTGACGTCAGAATGCTGAGCTCTGATTGGCTGTGATCGCAGGATAGTGGGTAGACATCAGGGCAACCAGCATTGATGTCACCCACTGTCCTTGCTTCTTTTGCAGAGGTTGTGGTGACGTCAGAACGCTGAGCTCTGATTGGCTGTGATCGCAGGATAGTGGGTAGACATCAGGGCAACTAGCATTGATGTCACCCACTGTCCTTGCTTCTTTTGCAGAGGTTGTGGTGACGTCAGAACGCTGAGCTCTGATTGGCTGTGATCGCAGGACAGTGGGTAGACATCAGGGCAACTAGCATTGATGTCACCCACTGTCCTTGCTTCTTTTGCAGAGGTTGTGGTGACGTCAGAACGCTGAGCTCTGATTGGCTGTGATCGCAGGATAGTGGCTAGACATCAAGGCAACTAGCATTGATGTCCCCCACTGTCCTTGCTTCTTTTGCAGAGGTTGTGGTGACGTCAGAACGCTGAGCTCTGATTGGCTGTGATCGCAGGATAGTGGGTAGACATCAAGGCAACTAGCATTGATGTCACCCACTGTCCTTCAATCGGAGCTAGAGCTCGGCGTTCTTATGTTCCCACATCCCCTGCAAAAAGAAGCAGACGAAGTTGCGCTCCGCATTGCAAGATGGTACTTTCTGATATCGTGGATTATTGATCTTGTGACGTTATCAGTGTGACGGTCGTCACGTGACACTGACTTTACGTGCACTGTGACGCCGTGTTGTTACGTGATGTGACGTCACGACACGTGGTCACGTAATGTAGCGTTACGCGACGTAAGGCTACATCATGACGTCATAGACGGCGAATGAATGCTATGCCCTTGGGGTACACTTCGGGATATAGCACGAAGACAGGCAGCTTTCTTTTATATAAAAGCTTGGGTCGTTCAATAACACCGGTACATTTATCTCAAAGAAATCCGAGAGACTTTTCTTTTAGTTTTGACGTGTTTCTGACACTATGTCATCTATTTACGACTGAACGTTATAATTGTATCAGCATCGTAAACGATCCACATGACGACGCATGTCGACAGGCTCAATAGCGTCGTCTCACAGGCACGAGGTTCATCGATTGTTCTAAAAACGGTCGATTAGAGCTCTCTCTTTATCTAAGCGACGACCGATAAGTATCAAGAAACTAATCGGTAGCCCTATCTTCGCGCTATCAACACTTAGATCCGGCTGGCGCTATCAATGGTAACGATTGCGATAAGGATAGCTTCTTTGCCCCGTGCCATGTTAATAAACGCGAAGTGAGCGCTCTACCGTGTGCCTTGACGGAGGACCAGCAGCAGAATTTTGGGGATTTCTCCGGCGCAGATCCAGCCGAGGGACGGCAACCCGGGCGTGAACCTGAGGCTCAAGCAGGCGGCCGGCACCTGGCTCAAGATGCTGCGCCTGGTGCGGCGAAGAGAAGAGGCGAACGCGAGTCTCTCGCTCGAAGGTCAGCTGAACAGACAACACAGCAGACTCGTACTTACCCGAACGGCTGCCGTGCCCTGTCAAGTATCAAAACTCGCGCACTTGAATTTTGACGTCATCACTGTAAGGTCGAGAGAACACATAGGTTGGAAACAAGCACTTAGCGTTTGGGCGTGCCTCGCTTTTACTCGTGCATCGATGAACCTTCGGCGTCGGGCTCGGTTGAGTTGACGGCATTCTAGCGTGATGACGTTTTGTGGAGTTAGGCAAGGCTCTTGATGGGCTTCGGCTGTTGGAGGCGGTGTTGGTTGTGTGCGACGTTTGCTCGTCCTGCTGGAAATCGTCTCGCATGTCAGGTCAGCCCATACCTGTTATAACACATACAGCTGTCACACACATAAACCCGCTTCGAAACTTTGCCGCTGGAAATGCAGTTCTAGGGTAATGCGTTTCAGTTCGGGGACATCTTAGCATAACATGAGTGATCGTAGCGTGATTCCGATGAGATACAAGGATTACGGCGCAATAACTTGTTGAATGTGGCACTACATCGTTGCGACGCAGCTAACAGCGCGTAAAACAGACACATTTACGCTGGTCGAGTGGTTACATTTTTGTTTACTCTGCGGCTTAGAAACTAATCATGGTGGACTTGGCATCTAACAAAGATTCTGTTCCAATTATCGCGTAAGAACCATCGATGAAGCCCTGTTTTAGAGCAGCTTCTCGTAACGTCACTAACGGCCCTTCTGCACCGGTGGAGAACAGCCAAAATACCCATTCACCTAAGTCAGCGTAGGCTGAAGAAGTTCCATGACAGATCTATACTTGAATTACTTCCAAAGGGTTGGCTGCTCCCGATGAAAGAGGATGTGGAGATAATCCGATACATTTAAGTGGTATTTTTGTACATTCCGAGTTTGCTTTTTTCTGAGGTTTGGCGGCTTTCCGGTCACTCGAACCTTTCACAGCCAAGGGACATTCTACAGCTTGTTTTTCGTCTCAACTACTAACCTAGGTTAATGCCTAGGAAAAGTTCGTCTGTTTCTTGCGCAGGGGTTGCGTCGACGTCAGAAGTTCGAGCTGTGATTGACTTTTATAGGAATGGTAGTGGGTAGACCCCAAAGCAGCTAGCACTGAGGTCTACCCTCTACCCTTCCAATCAGAGCCAATCAGAGGTCGGTGATCTGGCGTCACGGCAATTCCCTCGGAAGAAGCAAACGAACTTTTCCTTCCCATAGCTCGGTCTTCATTTCTCCTTCTTTTCGTCTGTCTCTCTCACTCACGCAGGCGACGAGGTCTGGTGCAACTTAACCCGTGACGTGAGTGCAGACAGCGAACTGTTGGCGCACGTAAACCTACCTTCCATCGACGTGGCAGCATCCGGTGGACCAGCTTCCAGAACGTCCCAGGAACCCTCGTCCCGGAACACCCCTCCCGGGGGCGAGCCACCACCGTGCGAAGAAAGTGCTGCCGCCGCTCCCGCCACCTCGGACGCGGACGTAACGGCAGAAAACGATCATCGAGACAGCGCCTTGAGACACGTGCACGTCCTCGGGGACAACACAGGTGGCACAACCCTTCTTCACCCAAACTTACAAACAGATTCAAGAGCCCACGTTGATCTCCGCGTCCCGGACGACGATGATGACGATGATGATGATGAGTGCGTTGTCAATGTCCACGAAGACGTCTCTCAGCCTGAGGTACAAGTGGCCAGCTCGCCGACCTGTCAGGCTGTGGAAGCTTCGGCGAAGGGCTCTGATGCCAACAGTGAAGGGACTTTGACTCGGTCCTCGCTGAGGTAATTATTTATTCCTTGCGAAACCTATGCGAAACGCAAGTTCGTTAGTTTCTTGCACAGCGGGTTGCCATGATGTCAGAAGGCCGAGCTCTTATTGGCTGATTGAGAAAAAAGATAGTGGGTAGACCTCGAGGCATCTTGTGTTGAAGCCTACCCACTATCCATTCGATCAAAGCCAATCAGAACTGGGCGTCGTTCTGACGTCAATGCAACCCCTGCTCTAGAAGCAGACGACTTGCTCTCCACACTGGTTACTGACTTTTATAGACCAAAAAACAAATTCCGTGATGTCCACACAAAAAAATTGTGTGGACACCACGACGGCGCGACGTCGTAGTCGCGTGTTGGTGTATTTCCATAGATTCCTACGGACTAACTAGTCGTCGGGTTGTACACAAGTGGCAGGAGGAGTTTACATTTGAACATGACGTGGACGACCAGGAGCTAACATCCCCAACTTCTGTGGCCTTGCGGATGTCCAAAAACAACTGAAGAACAAGAAACATCGCATTGTTCCCGAGAAATATCGTAGACGACAGTCATAAAATATCAATAAGCAGTAACTCAACTTTTGGACACGCGTATAGTTTTCTTCTTTTTTTTTTTTTTTTGTGGTTTTACAATTTTTTTTTTTCATTCAAAATTGTCAATTTCTGCTTTTCTTAACAAAATATCGTAATGTTTTCGAGGACTGTAATTGCTTGGGTATCATGGAAGGAAAACCAATTAACATTTTGACATTTTCACGAAAACGTTTTGTTCCACGGGATGTTCCAGGAAGGTGGCCGTGCGTCGGTTTTTGGCGCGGCCATTCGTTGGGTTCCGCACCCGATGTACGCCAGTTACTCGTTTTGGGTGTTCATACACGCCGCTGGATCCGCAGTATTTTTTTTTTGTTACGACCTTCCACGCGCTTGCGAAATCAGCAGGAGTTCCTAGCGCCTTAATTTGGATCTCTAAACGTTACAATTCTTTTTTTTATTAAGATTTTTTGTCTAGTAAATATTTATTTGAGAGAAATGAAAGTGCATATTTGTGTTGTGCAAAATTGCACTCCATAATGGGCCACTGACCGAAACTATCTACAAATAAATAAGTAATATACATGCAATAAACTATAAAATCAATGTAAATGAATTTTACTAACCGACTACAAATTTCTAACACTGGTAAATTGTATTTTAAAAATGCATCACCATGAACATAAGGACGTCTTTCCCTTCACACGTATAAACCTAGGTTGCTGAAAAGATACTATTTATATGCTCACGAAATGGGCGAAAATCACTTGGATTGTAACATATGCGCAGGAATATACGAATTAATGGACCTGTTTTGAATAGCTAGTACATGATACTAGAATAAGGCCAGCTTAAACCGTATTGTTCTTAAAATGACGAAAAAAACGAAACATAGTTCAGGTACACGAAGAGGAAAATGTATTAAACCACAGTTGGTAGTCCAGCGGTATTTCTGTATCACTTTCCGTCTCTGTACTTTCACGTCTTCCTCTCTTAAAGGGGCGGTGCCACGATCTTAGGATTAAAAGAATTTGCATCTCGTCATTTTTTCGTTGTTTATCGTGTCCTGGGGGTGAAGAAAACACTTCCTTCATTAAAAATGTCGCGATTCCGCTGCATAATCGCAAAGCAAAAGTCGAGCCTTTTCCCCCACCTGCAGCCCGAAGTGGCAGCCGAAGGAACTACGGCGAAAATATTACGTGACCTCGCTCGGCTCTAAGCTGCAGCATAACGCCCGCTAATGTCAGCAGATAGAGGGAGAGGATGTGTCCTCCGGGAGAGCACACGGGAACCTGCACGGCACTCCGAATGACGTCACCAGGAGGGGGACCAGGTGTGACCCTGAAGGCTGGGAATGAGTTGAGGGGTGCCCAAAATGCCAATATTTATCTTTTTTTTTTTTTTTTTTTTTTTTTTTTTTACGCAACAACTAGAGCACGCAGGAGAAATCGGTTTTCTGTTTTTTACTTCAGAAGTGTCAGAGGGCAACTTCCAGAAATCTTTGACCGAAGTCCGGAAATCGTTGCACCCCCCCCCCCCCCCCCCCCCCCCCCCTTTTGAGCTCACGCTGGCTGAAACATTCAACTTAAATTCTCGATGTCCAGTTTTAAAGGCGATAGCATTTCTGGAGCCACAGATCGCTAGTCTTGAAACGCACAAAAGAGAGTTTGCGGCGGGGATATCTACGCTAAAGGCATCACGACAAAACGACCCAGCTAATTGTAAAGGGGCTTACGTGCGGCTAAACTTAAAATGACTCTGCGGGACCTATTGTCACGTCTCACGGTTGCACAAACCACGTCACCACGTGACCCTCGGACAAAATCCACACTCGATTAGTTCTGTCCGGTCTCACCAAAGTGCCACACATACGTTTCTGCCTCATCAAGTCAGAGCCATCTTGCTCGCACTTCGCACAAAAGACGCGACATTTGCAGCGGACTTTAGGACGGAATCGTCTGCGGACGAAGCGTGTTTCCTTCACGCATATGCATTCTTCGAAGATGTGCGCACACAGTTTCTGTACGACCGATGGGATCGTCATACTGCAGACTGTCCTTTGTACGACGTATTTATCCTATTGCTCGTTTTTGTTTTCGGTTTAGCCCTTGTCCCGCGGCCTCCGCGAGGGTGAAGCGCGAGGCGGTCAGTCCAGTGGCCGTCGGACAGCCTTCCAAAGATGCCGGCTCGGAAGAAGCGGACAAGCCTCCGGCGACCACCGACGGCGCCGGCAAGGGCGTGGCGCCGGTGCCGGTGACGGGGCTGCCCCTCAAGTACGAGCAGGTGAACGGCTTCAACCCGCTGGCCAACGCGGTTCAGGCCGTGGTGCTGGAACATCCTCTGACGCTGCTGCAGGCTCAAGGTATGCGGGTCTATTCCCTTTACTCTATTTGATTAGCGGGAAATCGTCGAACGCGATAGAGAACTCCCTCAGTTTCGGACCGCAGAAACAATCCCGGTCGTGAAATCACAGAAGGGAACCACGAGAGAGCGCCACCGAAGCATTTCGGCGCTAGTCATCGGTGGCAGGTTAAGAATGCAGTAAAAGCTTTGCCTCCAGCGCCTGCTTGTCGCCTTCCGTCGTGCTTTCAACGACGTTGTGCTTTTCAAACCTGCGGGCTGGCTACTCTTCATTTGGTAATGGGGATGTGGTGGGGCTTCTTGCTGCGAGGGAGTGTCAAAAGAGGGGACGCGGACTACGAGCGCACTGTCGCGATGTACTCTCCGGGCTTGGTTGCGTTAGATGGCCTTAAGAGAAAGATGACGAATGTTGTGGCACTTTCGGCGCTTCTTGAGTGACTACATCGCCGATCGTAGCGTCGGCTGCGCTAAGACTCGTTTTAAGATGAAATGAGAGCAAATAGAAGCAACACGGGATTCGCGACGCCTGCTTTGATGCTGCTCTGGGCGCGTGCTTCTGAAGAGCGCGTGGCTTTGCCTTGAACACCACTGTGCTGCGGAGAAGTGGATTCGCGGGGGAAACGCCCGCTCTGTGCCTTTCTGGCAGAAGAGGTTGAACCCCGCTGAAAGTTTAGGATATAGCTTGTTTTCGGTTAACGTATACCCCTTTATACACGAGTACCCTTACGCGCAGTTTATCACATTTTACTGCTGTTATGCGGCACCACGGTTACCGCACTATACTCTTGGGCAGCTATTTCAAAAGAAGAGAAGAGCGCGCGTGCACTGCTTTGATGAATGCTCTAAGATGCTCAAGCACACGTGTTCGCATAGCTTTGATTGCCTAGCCACCAAATGTTGTCCGCAAGTATTGTGTGTTAACTGTAGCCTAGCGTAACTGCACTTAAGTGTACCCGTGTGACAAGGTTATTAGAGACACTCCGCCTCGAAATATAGGGTGCTAGCTGAAGTAACCATGCAGGCTCGATCTACAGGGTGATTCAAGGAGAGGCCAGGTTCTTTAAATCGTCCGCAAAATTCGGTTTCTTAACCTATCGCGCTACGACTTTGCGCAACGTTGCCCACAAATGGTGATTTTTTTTTTTTTTTTTAATTTGCAAAGAGCGAACTTACCTGAGGAAAAAGTAAAGAAAGAAAAAGGCTTAGCTCCTATGGAAACGCAGCGACGCCACCGGTCTGCAAACAACACAGCGCCGTTTCGCACGGGAGACAACAGATGGCGCAACGAACGCCGCCAACGTAAAGCCCCTTGATAAAAGCGTTTTTTACAAATACCGCCAACCATTGTTGTGGAAGCGCTCGAGGCACGTGCCATGAGCGGGTGCTCCGCCGCCATTCGCTTCCAAGGCCCGCTCATTTCAGTGCTGTGCCGCCATTTGCTTCCAAGGGCCGCTCGAGACATGGGCCTCGCGCACTCGCGCATTTGACGCTACTTGCAAGACGAGAGCAAACACATCGAGGGGCTTTACGCCAACGAACGAGTACAGTGGCTTAAAGGGGGTAGTGCAGTTACCGCGTAGCCTCCACCACGCATCCGGAACGGCCGCTCCTTAGAAGACGGTGCAGGTGGCGCTTCGATCTGCAGCTCCGTTAGAGTGCCTCGATCGGCAGGCAGATAGAGGCACCCTAACACGCTTTGTAAGTAATATAAATACCTCAAAAGCAATTATTTGTTTCCAGAGAACTTCCAAGGACAGATGTGTGTTTGAAGGTGAATAAAAATGAGAAACTAGCAGACGACAGTGTAGTCGACAGCTGCGAATCGGCCGGAGCCACTGATCTCAATGACAATTGCTGGATCGCGTTTGCCCGCTCTGCGAATGCGGTCACTGGCGGCCATCTTTAGGTAGAGTTATATTACCTCTAGCCAAGGTACAGCTCCTGCAGCCACTGTAGTCCATCCATGGCAGACAGCGTTTTGGCAGGTGTGGTGGCAGGCTGCCGTCAAAATAGGGTGGATGATATTTCGTGCCTGATTGAAATTGTTTGACGAAACATGTTTTTGAAACCCTGCGTGAACGGTAGCGCGATCTTTGAGGACCCGGTGAAAGTTTCACAAAATCGCAGCGCCGGGGGAAAGGCAGCACAGCTCGCATCGAAAGTCGCATCAATATTAGCATCAAAAGCAGACGCCGGTACGGAGTCTGCTTTCGATGCGAGCTGCGCTGCTTTCCGCCGGTGCTGCGCTTTCGTAGAACTTTCTCCGGGTCCTCAAAGATGAGGCTATCGTTCACGCCGGGTCTCAAGAATTTACGTCGTCGAACAACTTGAATTAAGCACGAATTATCTCCCACGGTACAGTGTCCTAGATCCACGGCTATTTTATGGCACCCGGCCGCCATTGCGCTCTCCGCCATATTACTATGATGGCTAGAGATGATATAACTCTACCTAAAGATGCCCGCCAGTGACCGCATTTCGGTCCATAGGCGGAGCTGGTCAAACGCGATCCAGAAAATAGACATAGAGATCAGCGGCCGAAGCTGACCGGAGCCAAGCTGGTCAAGTGGCCAAGCCGGAGCCATAGCCGGAACGACGGTGCTGCAAGAGCCAGCGCCACCCGCGGCCGTTTTCCAACGGTGTGCCGCTTCTCCGGTTTCGTTCGTTACACTACCCCCTTTAAGCCTCTGTAAAACGAACATACGGCGCCGAGAGCCGGCGTCTTTAGCAGACGATCGTTTCGACTCAAAAGCGGCGCGCGTTCCGCAGGCGGTGACAGTCGCAGAAACAAAAACAGGCGCGGTAACAACCAACGGTAACAACAAGGAACTTTTCCCTTGTTTTTTGTCTGCTAAAGACGCCGGCTCTCGGCACCGTATGCTCGCAGTTGGCGTCGCGACCGCTTCTGTGGGCAACGCTGCACAAAGTCGTAGCGCGATAGGTTAAGAAACCGAATTTCGCTGTCGATTCAAAGAGCCTGGCCTCTCCTTGATTCACCCTGTAGAATGAACCGTAAAGATCGGCGCCTTCACGTAGCAATCTAAACATTTCGTCAAATATGTATTTCACGGGTCTGTTCTTTCCTCTAAAATTACAAAGCGTAGCTTCTTTTTGTAAAAACAAAAAAAGCTTGCCAGGGTCAACGTCGGACGGCGACGCAGACGACCGAGTCGAGTGACGGGGCGTGTTTGGCGTTCGTATTGATAGATGGCGTCCGGAACAGCGTCTGAAGGTGCAGCCGACCAGCGGAAGAAAGCAGACGACGCGCAGACGAAATCCAAATGCAGCAAGAGCGCCGTCGTTACGTACCCACGTTTTTTTTTTTTTTTTTTTTTTGTGCGCGTGTTTTTTTTTTTTTTAATTTCAAGGCTCTTTTTTAATGTTCTAATTTATTTTAAACCAAAGGTACATCAGATAAAACATGGTGTTCATTTTCACAGACCTCGGTCTTCGCGAGCAGTCTCGAGAAAGAGGTAGCGCCATCTATCAGTACGTGCGCCAAACGCACCCCGCCACGCACCCTGCGTCGCCGTCCGCCGTTGAACCTGGCAAGTTTTCTGGCCCTGTATTTTACACAATGGGAGTTACACTTTGGGAGTTTACGGGATGAAAACGACCCGCGAAATACACCTTTGAAGAAAAGTTAAGATCAAATAAATATATTTTTATTTGTATTTGATTTATTTGTTTTAAATCGAAACTATGTGGCTTAAATCGCTTCTCTAAAAAAGTGTGTTGCTTATTTCTCACTGCATTTGTTTTATACATGGCCGGCACATTGATTTTTTAATCTACTCAATGACTGAGAGCAGTGGGGAACAGAACTTGACTGTCAAGTTGATCACATCGTGAAGTACAGTTTACTTCAGAGCTTTTTTTTTTTCTCTTTTTTTTTTATTATTTGAACCACGCCATAGTAAAACAGAAACATCTTTTTTTTCTGTTTTTTTCTTCAAATAATGAAAACGCTCTATCGCCGTAATACTTCCATGTGCGAAGACTTTCCGGAAACAGCTTCCGCTTATTTTCTTTTCCTTATTTAATTTATAGACCAATGTCAAATAAAAACAAAAATACATTTGAGATTATTTCTGCGGGAAAGGTTTGGTTTTAATCCCCGAGGTAAAACCGGTGCGATCGAAGTCACGATTTTAAATCACGATTCGAATTACAGTGGAAATGAGCTCGATTTTTTATCATCCACCCTGATTTGTAGGCCACAAGTTCGCTTTATAAACCTGTTATTTTCAGTTCCACATTCATCTCCTATCTTTAGTCCGTGAGACCAGCGGGTTTCCCGACCGTGGTTCTTGCAGAGAAGGGCGCTGATTTCGCGTTTCTTTTTTTCAGCTTTCAAGTGCGTTATGTGCGGCATCCAGTTCAGCAGCATCAAGACCCTCCGGGCGCACCAGACCTACTACTGCACCAAGAGGCTGGACAAGCTGCTCGTGCCCTCGGTCCAGCACGACACCGCCGAGGACTCGAGCGGAGGCGGCGTCTCTTCGCCCAGACCACGTGAGTTCCGCCCACACATGTAAACACGTTACTGAAATAGAGTAACGAACTACCGTTAGTACGGTACTCTTTACTCCGATTCAAAAGTAACACGAATTACCCCAGCTTTGAAAATAACGCCTTGATCTCTCGTTACTCCCAGTGTGTCGTGGTGTCATATAGCCTCGTCTATACTGACAAAGCCTGGCAGATCGCCACAAAACGCGGTCAGCGAAGGTGAAAAGATAGAGCGGCAAACAAGAGGCATGTAACGGGCGCCCCGCTGCGGCGAGACGCCGAAACACACTTGTCCCGAACGATGGAATGTCCGCTCGTGCTTCTCGCGTTCCTCGGGTTATCGCTTCTTTTCTAGTCGGGTTTGAAACCAATATGTTTCGGGTCTTCGCCGCTCCAAAAGCTGTGTGCTGAATACCAGCTTCCCAGAGAAATGCTCTGCGCTACCACATCCTTGCGCTCCAAATCTGCGACCGGGCAGTCTATGGCTCCGTCGTCGAACTGCCAGGCTTTGTGAGTATAGAGGAGGCTATGGTCGTGTGTATGAAGCAGTATCCCATTCAATATTTATCGGGGTTAATAATGTACCGCTTTTTAACGCATTCGTTCGGGGATGACTTTGGCTATACTGACGTACCTTGTGCACACCTTTTTATGGTCTATCGAGACATTTGTGACCGTGCAAATTACAGACGCGGGTTGGGGAGAGAACTTGGTTGGGTACTTGTGTCGCACGCGTTGCGCTCTAGCGGTAACTAAACACCGTTGCTCCTTACTTGGTCTCAAAGTAACGAAAATCCATCACTCGTTACTTCTCGTGAAAAGTAACTAGGTTGTTACTTCGTTACCGAAAAAAAAATAACTAGACACACGTCACGGAGTACTTGTAACGTGTCACGTAAAAGTCTAATTCCGCCCAACGCCACCGCCCCCTTTCGGCGTCGGGAAGGTAAACTCACATTTGCACATGTCAGTGCGGAAAGGCCGCTCGTAGCATCGCTCGCGTCGCGTGGAACATATAAGAACAATATATTACTATATGCGTTATAAGAAACTTCTTATCAGTTTCCCATAACTTCTTGTATAATCTTATATTTTTCTTATAAGGTTCATGTGTGCTTCTATATGATCTTATTTGACCATATGCGTTTATTGGACAAAGAAATTCCTTACACATATAATATTTTTCACTACGGACATTCGGAACAATTCCGAACTTTACAAAGTTTGTGCGATGTTCTGTCGGTTTCTTGTTAATGTTTTGTATATCGTAGCCTCCTTGCTCTTATAGCATTTGGCCCTGCTGCGTGACAAAGTAAATATTTGGGAAATTTTAATTTGGATGGTATAATATGTGACTGCACAAAACATGAAACAGTGAAAGTAGGTCGTGGTAAAAGTTTGCCCAAGTCACCAATTTACAAGCACTGAGACAATAAATGTGGAAAGATTGGAGGCTTCAAAAGGTTCACGAAGGGTATAGTTCAAATGCAGCTTCGATCTTACATTCACGTGTTTGGAGACTAGTGCAACAGTTTATGAACGACCGCACTGCCATATCAAAAAATAGCAACCGATTGGGCAGTTTACTGCTATGGCCGCACTGTCATAGCAATAAACTGCCCTGCTCGCGCTGGTCTGTGCTAGGTAATGTAAAAAATTCAGTACTAGGCCTTGATATTTAGGACGTGTTAAGAGCGTCCGCATGCTCCGACGGACGCCACATGTATGGCACAAAGGTGACAAAGCACGGCCCTGTCTCCTCTCGCAGGGGGTTCATCTCCGCACAAGAACGGCGCAGACGAGGGCAGTCCCGAAGAGTCGGCGGCGCCAGCCAAGCGTCCCCGACGCGAAGACAGCTCTCCGCTAAGCTCAGACGCTTCTTCAACTCCCAGCAAGTCGCCCAAGGCCGGCCGCTGCTACCAGTGTCCGTACTGCTCGTACGCCTACGACCGGAAGGGCAGCCTCACGCGTCACATGCGGCTTCACGGATCCCCGCCGTCGCCACCTAGCGCCGACCCAGTGGGCGCCGAAGACGTGTCCATGCCGCCCGGTGCACGCTACTGCTCAAACTGCGACATCCAGTTCTCCTCCTACAAGACGTTCACGGTACACAAGCAGTACTACTGCAGCACGCGCCACGTCCAGAAGTCCGCTGCTGCCGCCGCCACCTCAGTTGTCCCACCTCCCCAACAAGGCCCTGAGCACGTGTTGCTGAACCAACCCCTCTTCGCGGCCATTTCGACAAACCCGCTCATCCTGGTGCCCTGCTCTTACGTTCCTGGCAACGGCCTGGTACCGACTAGCGCCACATCCGCTATCACGCCCGCGATTGTCTGTCAGCAACCGGTGACGACCACTGCCCCCATTGTCCCTGAAGTGGCCAAGGAAAACGGCGCGAGACCTCGCGAAGCGGACTTACAGGTGACCGAGCAGTCCAGCGTCGAAAGGGAGTCCCCTTCGGTGAAACAAGAGGAGCCCGCGTCCGAGACGCCGCTGGACCTTCGACTCCGAAAAGACGTGGAGGCGTCTCCCCGGTCCTCCCCGACTCCGGGGACGTCGGGGGAGATGCCCGCCATCGTCGTTGGCGGGCTGGACCCGCTGGGGGACCAGGTGGTGGTCAAGCAGGGCACCTCCCGCTGCCGCGAGTGCAACATCGTCTTCTACAAGCACGCGAACTATCTGGCCCACAAGAGGCACTACTGCGCGTCGCGGCAGCAGAAGCTTGGCCGTCTGTCGTCGCCGTCCGGTGACGAGGGCTCGTCGTCCGAGCTGGCATCCAGGTCACCCGCGAACGCCACCGCTTCCCCGACAGTCGACGCTTTCCCGCAGCGATCGGCGACCGCCCAGTCACCGCAGCCCATGTACCAGTTTTACTGCCTTGCGTGCGGCATCAAGTTTACTTCGCTCAGCAACCTGCAGGCGCATCAGACGTACTACTGTCCCAAGCGGGACGTGCTCAAGGGTCAGGTGGGCGTAGCGGCCGTCACCCGGCCCGCAGAGTTCGTCTGTCCGCGCTGCCGCCTGTCGTACCAGAGCGACGAGGCCCTCAAACAGCACCTGTGCGCCGCCGCGCTTCGTAAATGCCCGTACTGTGACGTGTTCTGTCCGACACAGATTGCCGCGCAGCGACATCTTGTCACTCACACCGGAGTCCGGGCGTTCCGGTGCGCCGCGTGCGGCTACAAGGGGCACACTCTTCGCGGGATGCGCACCCATGTGCGTGTCCACCTTGACAAGGGCACCCAGCTTCAAGAAGAAGCCCTTATCCTTTGCGTCGGTGCCGACGGCAGTACCGTGTGCCCGTGGAACGGAGCGTCTGCCAATCCGATGCCCATAGCGCCCAAGTCGCCCGTGGACACAGTCCAGGAAAAGGCCAAGGAAGGCGGTCAGCCCTCTGCAAGGTCGGCCAGTCCTCCTACGGCCAGCTCTGCAGCCGAGGAGTCAGTTGTCTCCCGCGCCGCCGCCATCGAGGACCAAGGGCCTCCGTCTTCGGAACTCTTGCACTGGTGCAACCTGTGCGGCTACTCGTCATCCTACAAAGGTAACGTGGTTCGGCACGTCAAGCTGGTTCATCGGGACGTCGTTGCCGCATCGGCTGTCCAGTCGTTCACGAGTGAGCGCCCGAGGACCGTGGATGAGCGACGCTCCCCAGCGCCGCCATCCGACATCAAGACGGAGCAGGTCTCAGACGCGGAGGACGTCTCAGTGTCTCAAGACCACGAACAAGAGGAAGGTGGTGTGGAGGATCCCCGACGCGCGGAGTCTCCTGTTGTGACGGAAGCCAATTGCGACGTGTCCGCCGCCGAGTCTTCGCCCCCGCCGATGGGTGGAGAGGGAGTGAAGCCGCCGCAGCTACAAGGTCCGAAGTACTGCAAGTCGTGCGACATCTCGTTCAACTACCTGTCCACGTTCATCGCCCATAAAAAGTACTACTGCTCGTCACAGGCGGCCCCGAATCCCGGTGGAGAGGTGCGACTAGCGGAGGAAGGCTCCACATAATCGAGGACTTCGTGCTGTTTCTCGGCGAGCCAGCTGCGCCGATTCCCCAAGAAGGAAACGCCACGGCGAGATCCCAAGAGGACGACCCGACCGGGCAACCCTGCAATCGGATGGTCAACCCGCACCCGTGTCGAATACCTGACACGTCGTCACATTGACAACAGTGTTTGACTTGGAAGGCGCTAGGTGTAGGTGTCACAACCCTCCAAGATGTATATGGTGGCATTTATGCACTCTTTACACCCTTCTGCTGCACCCTACGCTGGACGTGATTCCGGCTGTAGTATTTACAACGTCGGTGGTGTAAATTCTAGAAAGTTCCCGAGAACGAGCATTTACACCGATGTGTACATAGTCCAGCTTAGAGCTGCGCATTTCCTTTTATGTGTGTATGTATGTGTGTGTGTGTGTGTGTTAGAGTTGGATGTGGAGGACGTTGGGGATTACTGCAATATATAGAAAGCTGCCGCTTTAGTCGGTGACATATATCTATCAAGACACTCGTCCTTGGGTCGATGTGTCGGAATAATGTCGCGATGAAGGAACTCTCAACGTACGTTTCGTCAAGCCTACTCCATAGCGTGTCGTCAACCGTTCCTGTGGCGTCGGACCGTTCTGCCGGGGTTCAAAATTACAGGCATTATAGTCGCAACCACCCCAGCAACTATGACGTGTAGGTGCGCCGATCCCAGCCCATGTGTCGCCACCAGTCTTTTGTTATGCCTGTCTCACACTGTAGCAAGAACAATGGTTGCTTGCTCTCCGGCAAAAACTGAGGGTAGAGCAAGCGACGAATGTTTAGGCTTGGTCAAACCCACCTTCGCATGTTGATGAACGCTACGAGGGTCGGCAGACCCGTAGCCGTACATAGCAGACGGCTTCGTGAGTGTAGATTGCGTTGTCCTCCGAACTCCGCGCGGTTTACCTTTGAAAGTGTCACACTTATACAAAGTAGGGCATTTAAACAAAACTTTGACGTCTTTTACCGGTGAAGGCTGACAGTGATGTCTGGAGAAACGAAGGAAATGATGGATTTGAGGTGTTATGTTCGGCATTTGTTTTTACAACGAGCAATCAAAGATTGCTATTTCGACAAAAATGACACAAATGAACTTTTTTCGCTTTATTTATTTCCCAGCAGTTATGCAGTTACTCTTGTAGGACCTGTATATAACTGTTGATCTCGAAAAAAAAAAGAAAAGATAACGGTCTCACGCGTCATTTTTTATTTTTCTCATGAACTTGCTCAGATCACCTAACAGCTAAAAGCGATCATTATTTTACTAAGATAAACTATTAGCTTCCAACGTTTCTAGCGTCGTTTTATATGAACAAGTACCATGAATTTCCCTTTATAACGTGTTGATAAGGCGTTTTCACGAGTAGCTCCAAGAAATTGCATGTATCAGAAATGCTACTGGACCAATGTCGGAAATTGGAAATTGGCATTAGGGTAAACGAAAACATATTTTCTTTTTTTCGACACCAACTTTGCTGCTGTACGCTCCTCAAACATCACCCATTTCATGTGATGCTCCCATTGCAACTCTATACGTTGCGATGGTGTAACATATCACGTGCTTCTGGTGACCAAAAGTGCAAGATGACAGAAGGGTAAAAGAAAGCAGCCAAAAAAAACAAAACAATAAGGGACGTGTGCTTGTAGTTCATCCTTATTCGCGCTTTTCCGTGCCATCTGTGTGTACGCCTTGTCGATGTAAATACTATAAATATGCGCTTGTATCCGCCTAACCGTAGTGGTAACACATTGCCAGAAGTCAACCTCAAGGCTTGTTCACACACTTGCCACTGCTTAGAACCGAGTGCCTTAAAAAATCTCTTAAGACGAGACAACACAACGGCGCCATCTATCGAGTAGCCGTGGAACACCCGGCATTTCCGTTCATTTCCTTTTTCTTTTCGTGCATTATTTTTTCTTTCTTGGCCAGAAAAGCTTTTTTGACGATGCTGTAAACGACCCTTTCTCATATAGCGCGTGCACTTGATGTCGTAAACACCGCAAACACCGCAAAACCTTCCCTCTAACAAAATGCAGGTCAAGGGTCACATCATAGATGGCGCCAGCGTGCCATTGTCTTGTCTCGTCGTAAGAGATCCCAAGAACTCGGCCGTAAGCAAACGCCAGTGTGTGGACGGGCCTTCAATCAACCCCTCCTGGATGACAAAGCCGCACTGCTGATTTTTTTGGCGTCACCTACTGAAGTCCAACGCTAGGCCCTGATTGGACACGACTGCCGCGTCAGAGTTCGGTTGGGAATCGTGTTCAGTCGCTGAGAACACGAGCCACTAAGGCAGCAGTCGGTCCCAAAATGTCTGCCTCGCATTGGCCTTCATTAGGTGGCGCCGACGATTCGGCGCTACGACTTCGTCATCTTGGAGGTGCTGTATCGGTCCACCGTTGCCCCGTGCTCGTTGTCTAGACCCGGCCAGGTAACAGAGGCATTCCACAATCGTTTTTCTCAAGTTCAGTTTTGAAGTTGTGCAATCTGGAAAGGGCTGTGGGACATAGCAGTGCTTGGTCCTTGAGGCCTCACGCGGAGTTTTGTCACTCCTCGACGCTACGTAAAGGATTTCTCTTTGTCGGAAACGAACACGTACTATACACACAGTCGCGGACAAAAAGAAGCTCGAACGCCAAAGTACGCTTGGTCATTAGCGTTCGGGGCCCGCCACAGGTCCCTCGGGCCGGCCGATGATGCTCAGAGGCCTTTACAAAGTCGCACAAAGCAGTTAGGCGAGCTTGATGGTGCGTTATAGTTTATTTCGTCCCCGACTGTATTGTGCTCACGAGTAGATGAAAAATAACAACAACAGCGAGAACGTTAATAATGGCGTAGTAAAATTATTCTATCTTGCTACAAGAGTCCACCAAAATATGTTCTCTATCTGATGGAAACTTGCAGTATAAAGTCGCGTCTAGTGCCACTAAATAAGCTACGCTTCATGAGTAATGACACTAATTCATTTTATGGCTTAAAATCATGGTTGCCAGTTATCTGAAGCTTCATCTGAAGTCACAGAAAACGCTTTTCCATCGAAAATAACGTAATAAGGCAGGCGAGCCGGTTAAACATTTCTAAATGCTTTTCCATCCTTCATACATGTTTACGCAGTTTGCGACAGAGCAAAGCCAATGTTATATGAACTTCCTAACACCGAATCTAATGGCGAGAAAGTCGCTCTTTTGAATCATGACGATCGGAAGTTACGTCTGCTCTGTACTAAGCACCAAGATGGCGACGCCCACAACGATATCGGGGAACAGAGCGCCGATACTCTAGGCGTAGCTCATTTAGTGGCTCTATACTTCGTTTCAGCTTCGGTCCAGACGCAGCCAAAGCTACAAGCGCGAGCTCCGGGCTTTCAGCATCCCTGCCAAGCTCGCGCGCTCGCGCTTGTAGCATCGGCTGCATCTGGACCGAAGCTAGAACGAAGTATAGTCACGCCTAGAGCCACTAAATAAGCTGCGCTTAGAGTATCGGCACTCCGTTCCCCGACATTGTTGTGGGCGCCGCCATTTAGGCTCGTAGGCAGAACAGACGTAACAGCCGATTGTCATGATTCAAAAGTGCGACTTCCTCAGCTTTAGATTCGGTGTTAGGAAGGTAATGTAATATTGCTTTGCTCTGTCGCGAACGGTTTAAACGTTTGTGGAGGGCGGAAAAGCATTTCTTGTGATTTCAGATAAAGCTTCAGATAACTGGCAACCATGATTTTAAGCCACAATATGGCCAAGTGTCGTTACTCTGAAGCGTAGCTTATTTAGTGGCACTAGTCACGCCCATGGGCTTAGTTGCGCGAGCTACCTCGACAATCGCGTTCTAAATAGAACTGAATCCGAATCATTTTATTGGTTGTCGGAACTCGGACCCACTTGCACATTGTTCGGAGGACCAGCAACGGCAATGTGTTCTAATTTGTCCAGTCACGCAACAGTCCCTTGGCGAGTAAAATAACCCCACCAATAACTTAGTACCGTAAAACGGTACTTCGAAGTAAAAACAAAAAACCGTTCTTATCCGCAACCGGAAACTACTGTTCGGCTCTTGAAAGGCCGAAGCAGTACTCCGTGTCAGCCTCCGAAGAATCGAGATGCAAGTGCTGACGCTGAAGAACTGAATCAGCTTTAGGACGTGGCTTTATTTTTGACAACATTTTGACAACCTTTTGGACGCTCGCGTTAGCTGACACTATTTTGAAGTTTACTAGTTTCTGGGCATTCGCAAGCAACCGGCCGCGGTGTAAAGAAGACTTTGCGGTGAATTTAGAGCATGCTGTCGAAGTACAGACTGAGGGACTTTAACTTTAAGTCTAGGTATCAACTGCGCTTATGATTAATTGCCAAAGTAACAGTACGATGAATATGAGTCGCCAACCGGTCATCCTTCAACGAACTGGCCTAATCACCGATCTCTACTCAGATCACAGACTCTCGGTCAAGCACACTGCCCTCGATCCATCCGCCGGGCCGCCGCCATATTGTCAGTCCGGAATTTTGTGTCCTCGGCAGTGGGTCGCAGAGTAGCTCCGGCTCTACGTCACGTCTGCGTCGATTAGGCGGCTTCATTTCTTCGAAACGCTGTTCACGAGATTGGAAACGAATTGGCGCGTTAAATTCAGTGAGCTACAAAACGATAACCATGATTTCAGAAAGCATCCTTCCACCAGTCTTTCCTGCTTCTAGCCAGTTTCCCCAACGAATATAAGAATGCTTTCTCACTGTTTCAATAGAACGCGTGCTGTGTCTGGTCGTGGGTTCGCACGCATGTTCGCGCGCTCTGTCGAAGATACTTCTAAAAAAACTAAATAATTAGTTTTTTTTTTCAGTTTGAACTTGTAGCTTGGCGAGCAGCCCGAAGGCGTGCAACGGCGAATGTTACCGGCACCAGAAACGGTCGTTCGATGACGGCGGCCGCTTCTGCTCGCCAAAAGCGGGAGGCATTTATTTCAAAAACGGGCGTGCCACTAAGAGCTTTATGCCGAGCTCAAATTCAGTACCGACGCGAAACGATCGAGACCTCTAAGCCGCGGCGACGATGCCCGATACATCACGCGAGAGACAGTCCTCAGAAACTGTCTGAACGCGCCCCGCAAGCGCGTATAGTTTTGTGAGGCAAAAACTGTGACGACGCACCGTGTCTCTTGCATGATGTACCAGGGGAGTGACCTGGGCTTTTATGTCAAGCTGCATTTTGTGTCGTTTGTTTTTAATTTTAGGTTCGCTTTCTTCTTTACTTTCAATCGGGGATTTCCATCGTGTGCCTGTTTGTACGTGTGCGTGCGTACCTGTGTATGTATGTGTGTGTGTGCTCGTGTCAGCAGCAGCAGCAGCAACAGCAGCAACTTGAGCTGGAGTTGGCTCGACTTTTGTTAAGTTATTATTTGCGCCCCCCAAAACTGTTCACCTTCTGTCTCGATGACAGGTTCTTTGTTTGTTTTCTTTTTTCTTCTCGCGTGCTGAGCATTCGAACTAGTCACGTGTGAGCGCTGTAAAAGAGGGGGGGGGGGGGGGGGGGTGCGAAGATGAACGTCCGTGTGGAGAAGAGGAACGAAGATTTTGAGGCATTTTTTTAGGCTTTTTTTTTTTCTTTTTTATTGAGACCGGTCAATGAAAGATGAAAGAGATGAAATGTAAGCGGGATCGGGGGAAAAAAAAAAAAAAAGAAGCGCGCCGTGATGAGATGTGTTGCGAACCCTGTGTGCGTGTCAACCTTTCGCAGCGTACAACGTTGGCGCCACTATGTCGGCTGAGCTTTGTTTTTACTTTCTCGCCAGCTCGGTCTTTTTTTTTTTTAATTGTGTATCGATGTCTTCCACGAACTAGTCCGAAAGCCGAAGGTGTTTCTTTTTTTTTTTTTTTTCTAGAGAAAGAGAGAGACAGAGAGAGAGAGAAAAAGAAAGAGAGATAGAGAGAGAAAGCGCACGAGTTTTAATGACAAGTTATTAAAGTTGTGTTGCACGTGAAATCGATTATTGGCGTCCGTCTCACTTCTTCCCTTCACGCTGGATCAAAGAAACGATGCCTGGCAGAGGTTGGTACGGAGCTACCACCACTGAATACAAATGCTGTCGCGAAGCCGACTTTCCTCTAATTCCAGGCTTAATTGACTGATCGCGTGCGTACTGGTTGTTCCTGTAATTGTGCTGCGTCCCGTCGGACTCTATCTTACCTAAGAAAAAAAATAATTTATTTTTGTTCTTTTTTTCTCGCCCTTTTTCCCGACAGCAGACGCCCACAGTGTTGGTTGGCTGCTTTAAAACAAAAACTGAAAAGGTGCTTGAAAAAAATTAAGGCTCCAATCCACGCAGTGAAGCTGGCTGGACAGCGAAGCTGTGCTATCACCTGCACCGATTGCCCACTGCACTATAGATCCTTTTCATGGCAAACGCCACCAGCTGGTGCTCCAGTTTTTGACGTGCCACAGAGCTTCCTGTTTATAAAACGAATGAACAAAGGTCACCTTAACACCGCTGCTCGAAATGTACATGAAACATTCAACCACCAATTCTCCAGGTGAACGCCAAAACAACGAAGGAGTGCGAGATCTGTTCAAATGTTTCGAGTGTTCTTGTAAACCAACTTGCCCCCTCCAAGATGTAATATTGTACAGCCGAAGGCCCTCTCCAACTTTGTTGTCCCTGTAACATTTACGCTTACTAGCACTGGTGACGTAAGCAAGCTAAACAGGCTCGCAAAGATGGTACGACCGAATGTCGCTTGGGACGCAAGCGGCAGTTCATGTTTGTAAACAGCCAAAGGGTCTATACCAAATGATTCACGAAAGAAAAGTAAAACTGTACCAAAACTTTTATGTATGAAAGACTTCGTACGCTGTCATCGCCGCGACGGCTTATGCAACCGCAATCTTTACCGTGAAACGCATGCGGGGAGCGCTACGTTATTATCATCCTTCACGCGTGCCTTATAATCTATCACGTGGTTTTGACACTTGTTTTGTTCCTTTCTCATTGAAACAAGTCTCATAACCACGTGATAAATGATAAGGCGTGCACAAACGGTGATAAGACGCGCGCGTGGGTTTTCTGTTGACGGACACGAAAAGCCCGACCTATGAGTCATATACAGCTTCGCTGTAAAAGAAAAAAAGAACGAGTTTGGGTGAATTCTATTGAATTTTTGTCCAGAGAATTTTAATATCGTAAGCATTTGACCCGAACATATCAATAGACACGATAGAAACCGAAAACTCAACCGCTGGGCGTGACGTCACTCAAAAGTTTTTGCAGTGTGATACTCTTACGCATCTTACAGATAAAAAATGAAATAAACAAATAGGGCGCGGTATGGCCAAAAAAAAAAAAAACACGCTTTTCGTGTAAGGCTCGTCAGATTATGAGGAGCTGGAGGAAACCAGCCTTGTGCGTTAAGTCCTTATTTCGGACTCGTTTTGTTCGCGTTCCGCCCATTGAAAAGCATGCGGGAAGCACCTCAGCACGCACCCCGTATCGCTGCGCCGCAGTGTTCTTCCGCAGCATTAGGGCCGGCCTCTAGGCCTTACTCGGAGTACCATTCTACGTGTGCACTACAAGAGGTTCCGTGCGATCACCGCAGTGCAGCACACGCACCTTGGTAGAGTTCAGCAAAGCACGGGCATAAAGCCGCGCGGTGGCGCTGCCTAATACAAAAACACAAAAGACAGTCTTCAGACACCGTCTGCGTGCGGCGTGTTTCCTCCTTGTACGACGGTCCTCTCCGATCGGTCATGAAAAGAACAGTCCGCAGACATGTTTGAAGCTTACGAATGTATGAAGCAACATCGAGGGTAACGAGAATGCCGACTCTGACACTTCGAGCAGTCTCTTGTACAAGCGCCATTGCTGACCCTCGTGGGAAACTCTTTTATCCAAAGAAGTGCGACAGAGCCCATGGACCACGTTGGAATGGTGTTCCTAGACACAGCGCTCCTCTTTTACACAGAAATCGCGGCCGACAGCCTAATGCGATGGGCTTCGTGGCAGTCGGGTACATCAAGGGTGCAGACCGTCCCGATCCGCCTGCTATGCCAACTTCAACTCCAAGCACCTGGGCTAGGCACGTAGCCCGGGGGGGGGGGGGGGGGGGGGGGGGGGGAGGGGTTGCGTCGACAGCATTCACGTTACAGCCAGACGCAGCCCTGTTTCTGGCGGCCACATGACCGGACCAGG